TCTGGTTGATACTGGTCTGGATTTGGGTTTGGTATATACAATTTCTATAAATTTTTGTTGTATGTTGTGGGAGTGGTATGGCGAGTCAGTCACTAGCTGATAATGAAATTCGTAAAACAGTGGTGTTAAATTTATTTAATAATAGGGCTTTTGGTGAGGCATTAGATTTGGCCAAAGTAAGTGTCTTCTTTATTAAAATGTGAGTTTTGAATCTTGTTATATTTACTAAATTTTATCCACTAATTTATATCTTTTTCCCAAGAACAAAATAGAAAGAAATCGAAAAAATAAGAAAAGGTAAGAAATTCTAACACTTTCTTTCAATAATTACATAAGTCAGCCACTAATTACATCATCATTACTCATATTTTTAGATCACTACTAAGCTCTATTTCTTTGACGCAATACTGAATTGATCATTAATCACGTGACCCAAATCGCGTTACCCTCCATTTTCTTTCCATCTTACAATGTGTTGGTTAATTCTTTGGATTAATAAGGAGAAGTTGATTTTAACTATTCTCCTTGAGTATTTCGGAGTCAACTGGAAAATTTTTTTATTGTTTCTGATCTCGATAGTGAAGTGAACTAGAGCCCCCTAAACTATATCAAGAATTGCCAGTAGAATGTTGCCTGGTAACAAGCAGAAGTTGAGTGGTTTTATTTCGATCTCATTTATGAACAGATTGTTCTTATGAGATTGAATGTGATAGTGTTGTTGCAAACTGAGGTCTTGTAACAATGTTTGAAGGGAATAGTTGGCAGAAATATTAATTTCTTGGAGGATGTGTTTATTATTTGATGATGAGTTGATGACTTCTTCGATTATATTAAGTAGGCAATATTTGAATCTGTTTGAGGAATTAAAGAAAACCCATAATGTAGAGGCCAAAGTGTTTGTAAATAGTATTCAGCAGAATCCATGGGAGAATATACCAATTGGACAGTCTGGACATCTGAAGAGATTGTTGCTGCTTGGATTTATAATATTATATTTTTCTTTGAGTAGTGTTCTTTATCTATAAATGTGTATTTTTTGCGAGTTTTGACAACTGTATTGGTATTGTATAAGAACCAGAATGCTGTTTTGGGATTTGATATAGAGCCATGGGTTCCAGACAGGTTTGTACTATTTACAAATGTTTTGAACCAATTGGGCTTTGGACCCATATGGATTATTACTGTGTGTGTGATGAGCTGTGATCAGGAAAGTTTGGTAATATCATTATATTTCATTAATTGATTGATAAACTTTATATTGAAAGTGTTGGTTGTATTTATTGTTGTTTTCTTAAGTTGAGATTGCATATTGGTAAATGAAAGACCAATTGAGTTCTCCACATTGTCAAGATGGAATAGACATTCTGCTAGATGAAAACTATTTTTATACATATTAAATATATAATATTTTTATATATAATAAATATAAGTTATTTAAGACAATAAAAATATAAAAGAAATGTTATATTTGTTAGAATAGTTATTTATATGTATTAACATAGAAATACTGTAAATACTTTGGCAAATATAAGTGATTAAAGAAAAATAAGTAAAATAGGAAATATTCTAGAATATTAATAATACAAAAAGTATAGTGCTCAATAATAATAAAAAAAATATTTTAATTTAAGAAATAGAAGAAATATGGATTAAACTGTAACAGTAGATTAGTAGTATAAGAATTTTTTTAGAAGTAAAATTATTTCATAAATAAATGCAAATAAAAATAAAACAAGAAGTAGTAAAGATTTTAAATAAAAATCAAGTATAGCAGTATATTCATATATATATATTGTTATGATTATTAGTAGTACTATTTTTGGATTATTATTTTATAGTATTATATTACTTTATTATTTCTATTATTAGTTATCTAGTATATATAGTATAGCAAGTAGATATAGCATTTCTGCAAGATATGACTAATTAGCCTGATTAATCTGATTGACCTAATTAGACAGAACAGTCTGAACAATATGAGCAATATGATCAAGAATATCAGGCATATCTGACTTAATTGGCATATCTTGTTATTTATTTATATTTTAGTTTCATATGTTTTAAACATGTATAAATAGGACAGTTGTTCTTTTCCACTATTCAAGGAATTTCTTAACTCTTCTTAACTCTCTCTAATAAAACCTATCTTGAACCTATAATCAAATCACTGTGCCTCTTGCCTTGAAAATAAACTTTGTGCAATTCCTTCACCTTACCAATATTAGTATATTACAACTGAGGCTATTTTCTTTTAAATTAAGTGGTTTCCTGCTACTGTTGTCTATTAATCTATTTAATTTTAAGGTTTATTAAATAGGTTAACAATATATATATTCTATATAACATATAAATTGACAATATTTAATTGAATTATGGCTTGCTTGTTAATTTAAAATACTATTGATATTCTTTGAAATGATTTATAATAAAATAATTCAATATTTAAAAAATATTAATTTTAATGTTATATCTAATAAATTTTATTTTATGATTTTATATTTGTTTTTTAAAATATTTTTAAATTTAATATTTGAATTTATTTTTTTTAAAAATTTTTTATAAGCTATTAAAAAATATTATAATTATTTATTTATTTAAATAATTAGTTATTTTTGTAAGTTATTATATATATATTAATTTATTTATTATCTATTGTAGTAAATATATTTCTAAAAAACCTTAAGCAAAAAAAAAAGACTATTACTAAAAAATAAAATATTTTAAAAATAAAAATCTTGATTTGTAAAAAAAAAGATAATTAAAAAAGATAAAAAAAATTTTAATATTTAAGAAATAATGATTAAAAATATATATCTGTTTTATTGTCAACCTTTAATTATTATAAACTATATAATATTATTTACATTTAGGTTTTGACTTATTGAAAATAGTAAATATTATAATTAATAACTTGAAAAAATAATATTATAGTTATTAGTTTGATTATAATTTTAATAATCTTATCAAAACTTATATAAGATATCAGTATTATACTTTTCCAATTTAAGTTATTATATTGTTTTAATTTTATAGTTGTAATTGTATTTAAATATTGTAATAATACAAGTAGTAAAAATTTTTTGTTAAAAGTAAACTAATTTCAGTTTCTTGATAAAATTTTTTAAATAAAAAATTTTTTAAATATAAAAATAGATGAGAATTAAAAACCAGTTAGAAGATTATAAAAATTAGATATTAATTATTATTAGCAAAAAACAAAAACTTTGAAAAATAAAATAATATTTTTTAATAAATATATTATTATTTGAGAAAAAAAATATAATATATATAGCTGTAGATCTATAGTACAGTAATTAATACTCCACAGATCAGATTAAAAATTCTAATGATTCCTTTTGATTTTGTATTTGATTTTCAAATTTATATTAAATTTAATAGATGAGATATACTTTATTATTATTTTTAATAATGTTCTAACCTTATATGATTTTCTATAATTCTGTTTAATTCTAATTTTTAGAACTATAGATCAAATTATAAGATATCAATTCAACTTCATGTGAAGACAGTTGAATAGTATTAATATAGCCTTTGGTATTATAACTTGAAATGCATTGTTTTTTATAGAAAGCTGATTCATATACTAATTCAATAGGCATTGAGATTATAACCTCTATAAAAGATGTAGTGATACAATAATTATCCAGTTAGTACTATAATAATTATTGATAAGCAAAAATATAACATGTTTGAATATATAGATTGGATTATATTTTATTCTAACCAATCCCAACTAATAACTTCTTCTCTTATAATTAGTTCTGATCTAATTAGATAAAGAAGATTTAAGAGTATCTTGAGCTGGTTCCATTAATATATCCTGTCCAAAAACAAACTTGGTATAAAAGTCTTAATAAAATTGTTAGTGATTTTAAAAGACAATGAACTTGAGCAATTATTATTTTAAATAAATCTTATAGCAATGTAGTTAAATACAAATAACTCAATAAAATCATATGCTGCATGTATCTTTTATCTAAAAAAAAAAGATATAATATATGCAATATTTGTATTAAGTAGATTATGTATAGAAATAGTATTTATATAAAGAATTATTTTTTTGTTTGTTTTTTTTATTTCAAGTTATTGCTTAGTACTATTACCAATCATTAGATTTTTTAAAGCAAACTATTGCTAAAACTTCAAGAACTAATTTTATTTACTTATTAAGAAAATGAAAAATAAAATGACAATATATTGTTGAAATTGGTCATTTTTTATTAAAATAACTTTATAATTCTTTTATTACAGTAGTATAACATTAAGGTCATATCAGACATCATGATGATTCCATTGTGAAAGAGTCAGGAGTCAAAAACAAAATCATCGTTTTTAAAAATATAAGTAAATTATGATTTTAACAATGAAAGAATCATGTGGTTTTAACAATGGGACATTTCTTTTCGTTCGTTAGTTATACTTAATTTTTGTTCGTCGGTCAAATGACCTGTTTCGTAAAGTGTAAGAGTAGGCGCGGAGAGTAATTCCCAGTTCTCTCGTAAATTTATTAAACGGGCCATTGCTTTCCGTCTATACGTATGAGTATGAAAGTATGATACGTAATATATTTATTTTGGAGGAAATGGCGTTGATGACGATGACGATGACGATGAACTTAGAAATCCATCAAAGAAATATCCTTTATAAAACAAGATGTTTATTGCGCAGTTTACAGTATTTCTGAATATTGTTCTTGTTAACCATATTAGGAATTACCAATACGTAAAAAAAGCTTCTTTTAATAAACCTATACTGTAAATGCTGGGTTCTTAAAAATATTTAAACCTATTTTTTAGATACGCTTCAAAATAATAAGCCTTTCCTAGCAAATATTCTTTTAAAACCATCCAAAGATAGATAGTCGTCAGAGCTAACAAAAGTAAAGGTTTTTACGTTTTTCTTGCTTATTTTATATCGGTTCACTTTGAATTATTGTCGCTAGGTAACCAATAATACTGATTGTCTTTAAAATTAACTAGATGAGTAAACCATACCAGCTACAAGATCGAATAAGTGAGTTAGAAACAGAAAATGCTGGATTACAAAGAAAAATAACCGAATTGGACAATGAGAAACGAAATCAGCTACTGGCAGAATTACGCGACCGAATAGAATATTTATCAACAGAAAATGATAAATCGCAAAGCAAAATAAATAAAATAGACGAACGATCATGGATTATAAGAAAATTAAGAGGAAGGAAAAGAAAACAGCTTGTATCTAAGATTAATAGAAATGATCAGGAAATCAAGTACCTCCGGGCAGCCGTCCAAGGAATTGAAGATTTCCGGAGAACAAATGATTCAAGTTTTGTAGAAAGTGTTGTTAAACTTATTCCACCTGTTGTGCAAATAATATCGCTTTTTTTAGCTCGACGCTAGTTATTTATTTGAGCAAAAAAACTTGTTGCCTTGACATAACAAAGTCAAATAGAAAAAAGATCTCAATTTTTATCCATAAAGTGGATAAGACTTTTAATATTTTTCGTCATGTATTTTATTTATAATAGGATCCAGAGTCTTACACTGGTTATTTTATTTTCTTTCCCTTTTTTTCTACTAAAATTCCTTCTTTTTCAAAGTTATTATTTTCAATTTTATTACTCTTATAGCTAGATGACTTCTTTTGTTTGGATATTATATCAAGTAAAAATAACTTTTCATAAAATATAAATCTTGACAAGTCTTTTTTTTTTTCATGGGTTTTTTCAAAAGATCTATATGAATATTATTATTAAATTCGGTATTATTTACTTATTGATGACTAAACTGGATACATTCAACAAGTTTTATATAATTATTAATATCTGAATATTTAAAAAATACATTTTATGATATTCAAAAAAATAGTAGTTAATATCAATTTCAAATCTTTGGGAAATCTAATAATGTAGTAATAATAATTAGAAATTTTAGCTATATTTGTAAATAGAGCTAATAACAATAATAAAGTTTTTTACTTGCTTCTTAACAATATAGGTTTTTATACAATACTAAGTACTAATATTTATAAAAAAAAATAAGAATAAATTCTAAAATAAATTATAAATATTTTTGAATCTTTAATTATAAAATACAAAACATATAAATTTAATATAAATTTTTTGTTATGTGTTTAATAAGTATCAAAATATAATATATTACAATTATATATAATTTAATTTATTAATCTAATTTCATTTTTACTATTAGAAAAATAACCGATTTTTTAAATTATTTTTTATCTACATTTTTATTTTAATATTTTGTAAATATTTGAATTTAATATATACATTAACTTAATTAACTTAATTAATAATTAGTTAATATCAATATTAATAAAATATTTTGTTTTATATATTATTAACAAAAATATTTAAAATATTAAAATTGCTTGGTTTATTTATCTGCTATTGTACAATTAAAAATTCAAAAATATTTATAATTCATTATTAAATTACAATATAATTTAATAAAAATATATTATTAAAATTTTTTTTAATAGAAGCTAATAGTACTGTATACCACTGCATACAATATCCCAGGTATTTTACTAGGAGGGGGTAGTATTAGTGGCAGGATATATCATTACTATAAAATTCAAAATACGTACTAGTCTTAATTATTATTATATTAATATACCCAGATAGTAATCAATTATCAAGCAACAATTTTCTTGAATACTACCCAGTATTATTAGTGGGGGTAGTATTTGGAGGGGTATTGTATGCAGTGGTATATGGTAATAACATTTTTAATTTGAGTTGTTAATTATTAAAAAATAAGTTTTTTTTTATTTTTTAATAAACATAAATATTTAAATTAATATAAAAAAACTTATAAAAATATAGATATATAATTATTTTAATAGTATAAATAATCAAATTTTAGTTTATTTATATAAAAAATATAAATATTAAGTTTTAAAACACTATTGTAATTAGTTTATTAATTCTAAGCTGATTTATCCCAATCTGAAGCTTATAGATCTATCCCAATTGCAATATTTCATAAGAACTTAAAATATAAATTGAATAATAAAGTAATTAGTTACAAGTGGTGAGTATCTAAACAAAAATTGTTAAATTAAATATATTTAATAAAAATTTATAATATTAATCAAAATCCAAGCAAAAACACCAGTTCTACAAGTTGTAAAAATAATAATATTACACTATATTGGTATTATTTCTTAAGAATAAGTAATAACAGTAACTAAAATATTGGAATTAATCTTTATAATAATATTTAATAATATGTCTCACCTATAGCAGATATAGCCAAAGTTGAATTTAGTAGATTGGGTAATTTAAAACCAATAATAGGATTTTTATCTTCTATATAAGTTTCACCTAATATGTAAACTATCTACTTAATATTTAAAATTTGTATATCTAGATATATCAAAATTGTATAATAGGTAAATATACTAGTTAGTAATAGTTATATAATATAATATTAATCTTATTATATATAGAACAAAACAATTAACATAATAATGAATAATTTATATTAATAAAATATTTTATATTTAATGCCTGTTTACAATTAAAAAAAATTATTGGATATCCTTGTTTAATAATAAAATAGTTTTGTTCAGATTTAATTAGACCTCTACTAGTATATAAAATATTCTTGTTTAACTTTATATTAAGCAAAAACTGCTTCTAATTTAGTACTAGAAGTATTAATATGAATATAAATAATTATTTGAAATCAGAATATTTTAAAATTGATATAAAAGTTAAATATTATTTTAATATCTGAAATATTCTTTCTTGAGTTTTAATTTATTCAAAATACACTTGTTTTTAAAGAGTTTATTTAATAATTTGATAATAGTTAAGAAATTAACAATAAATTTTCATTATTATAATACTAATTCTAAGAATTCTTGAAGTTATTTAATGTTTATTGGTTTTGAAAAATCTTTAATCTTAATGATTTTATTATTATCTAGTATGATTTTATCTCAGCTGATTACATTTCTAAAAACTTTAGAATGGTATTTATATAATTATAATATTCTTGAAATATTTTAAAGAAAATTTAATATTATCCAAGTATACTTTGTAAATTTTTTTTTATAAAGTTTAAAAAGTTTATTTATAAAATATTAAAAAATAGTAAAAGCATTATATATTCCAAAAGATATAATTTTGAATGCATAAAATTTATATTTTGTAATAAAAATAGTTTTCTTTTTTTATTATTATCAATTGCTACTTGTAAATACTTACTTGTTAGATCAAGAGTAAATTATTTAATACTTTAAAAAAAATATAAAATACAAAATCATTTTTTACTATTTTTCTTTATAATAAGATTTTTTTTTTTTTTGGGGGGGTTTCCCCAGTAGGTAAACATCATTTCTTTATTTGATATTGTATATAACAAGGTATACATCGGTGAAAGAAACAA